ACTTGCGCAGGACACAGAAAAAGGCTTCCAGGCAGGCAGCCAAAAGGCAGTAAGAAAGGACATGGACATGCCAAGCCTTTGGTAAACTGTTCCAGTTCAGATTGGTGGTTGTCCCCTAAGTCTTGAGATCCTCTCTGAATTATGTCTGTTCCCAGTTGTCCAGGAGGTTCTGCAATCCAAGCCCGAGGTGTAAAAGTCTGACTACATTCTGATGTCCTGGAGACCCGTGAAGATCCGTGGTACAATAGGTCTTCAGCAACCCATGCTTGCCGTAAAAGGCGAGTATGCTTGTCGTAAGAGGCGACTAACGGGATGGAGTGGTCAGGCTCGCTGACTTGGTTGATGCATGTCATCGTATCCCAATTGCGTGGATCGATGCTCATGATGTCAATCACTGGGTTGTCGAGACTTGATTATTTACAGACTGCCGTCACATAGCTGGAAAATTGCTCAGTGCGGCGTTAAACAAAAAACAAATCTTATATCCTGGAAAACTTGACGTACAAAGAGATCTTGCTGAAAATGTTGTAGTACAGCAAAACTGTACTCCCCTTCGCAGGCACCGGGGTACACCGGAAATAGAACCAGAATCGTAGACACGCATTCTTTACAGATCGATAGGTTTTTTTGTGATCTCAGCACATGTTGCTCGCTTAAACTGTTGCATTTCTGTTTGTAGCATACACCACTGATGTGCCACTGATTCTGCAATTATACTCACCGACAAAAGAATCCCATACAATTTGGTTAATATATGAAGAATTACTCATATTCATGAGATATTAGATTGGATCGAAGGTTCGATGCACAAACGAACATACTGTCATGTTGTGTGAACCGACGCTCATGAACGCATCACATGTGACATCATAGATCCACGACTCGAGATGCACCATTTGACTTGTGCAGGATTAGTGTGTAAAGTTAGAAATCACGTGCAGCACATCGTGATAAGAATAAGGACACTGTGTGGTAACACTTGACTGATTGTTAGTTTTGTCATTAATGTCCAAGGTAATTTTAAAGACGTTATCGACGTATAGTAATTGTTGCGTTGCGTAATCGGAAGGTAGCAATTCGTGTACCTCTTCACCTGAACTACGGCAATCCCCCCGTTCTTGGTGCTGACAGTCTGGGATGTGCGAGAGGTACAATGTCAGTACCCGAGGGCCTTGGACCTTTTACCGTAGTTCCTCAAACAAACACAAAGAGTGCTCTTCGTTTAACAGTTTTTATTCCCACTTTGTGTTGCCGGTCAACCCACTCTATTTGTCACTTAAATACGAGACTTTGGCCGCAAAGCTTCAGTCTCAGTCGAAATGCTGGTGCCTAAGTTTGGTTTCTGGTTCGAAAGATCGTGACAACAAGCCGAGAGCGGAGCACCAGTCCAGATGTCGTCTCCCCAGCCGCTCTCTCATCTGGGGGCTTTTGCCCCTGTTTAAACCGGTACCTACGTCACAGTTCTACTCATTTTTTTATGTATCATTGGTCAACCACCTTTCCCCCCTACACTAGATCATTCTAACCCACTCTTGTCCCTACACTAGATCATTCTAACCCACTCTTGTATAATAACAAGATCCTTATTAGGACTTGTTGTAATGTGAACTCCTCGACTCCCGGAATATGAACTATTATCACACACACACCCATACCATATATGTACCTGAGGTCAATCTCATCTAGTTTTCTTCTCTTTATCTGTTAACTTGTATGTTCCTTCTGACGTTACTCTTATCGTCTTGCTCTGATATTCCAACCCTCGACCTACTACCGTCAACCCCCGGTTATCAGTGGCCAATTATGTTTCCGGTGGTCTTCAACTCCGAACATCACCTGCCCTCAATATATCTTCCGATGCGTTGTATCTATGTCTTACTGTTTTAACCCTCTAATTGTTCAAATACGTATTTACCATACGTGTCTTAATGAGTTGATAATTGCTGTAATTTCATGCCTATAATACGACCCCCGTTCTGACGAAGAGTGTGTCCCCACACTCTAAGATGATGCCAATTCTTGTTATAATATCTGGTATACATTCCCTCTTATTTCTATGACTTATTGATTTAACTTCCCTTAAATTATCTAAATATATATTACACTTTCATCATTCATGCCTATAATATTAAGTGGTACACACTGGAAACATCTCTTCTTAACGTACACACGTCTCTATAATTTATGTGTCAATGGCTCGCGTTTCTTTTGGCGGTGAGTATATATTGAAGTAAAATGACACATGTAGACACTGCTGACCAGATTACAATTTAGTCCACACACAAACACACTGTGAAAGAGCAAAGGGGATGAAGAGACCGCACAGAATACGTCACATTGTGAGGGCGGTCGGGTAGCCTAGTGGTAAATGCGTTCGCTCGTCACGCCGAAGACCCGGGTTTCGATTCCCCATATGGGTAGAATGTGTGAAGCCCATTTCTTGTGTCCCCGCCGTGAAATTGCTGGAGTATTGCTATAAGCCGCGTAAAACCAAACTCACTCACTCACTCACTCACATTATACATTCTACTTAGTGCATCAGCAGCCAAGTTCTCTTTTTCTGCTATATATCCTGCTGAAAGTTTGAAGTTATAGTGTGCCGAGAGCCAAAACAGGTCTCTAAGCCACCTATACTGTATCTAGAATGACACGTGGATCCTCTATAAAGTCTGTCCAATTTTCGAATGGAGGTCTGCCCGTTAGGCTGAATGGACGAGATGCTGGAGCCAAGCTCAGGGCATGGGGGATTTTTTGTCAGATGGCGTCACATACAGGTCTTCGCCCTGCAAGCAACACATCTTCGTCTCATGGAATGGACCAGGCGTCGCACAAAGTCCTGTGGGATATCTGTCCATATCTGTTGGGGCATGTTTCGAAGGATTTTTTGTCAGATGGCGTCACATACAGGTCTTCGCCCGGGACTATTTCATATTCAAATCTGGCGTTCCCGGCCCATAACCAGCAGACCATGGATGACAGGTGGTATGTCGATCTGGGAGTCAATCAGCAATCTTTATTTACAAATGACGAACATCGTCCCAGAGGACCGACAGGGAAAACTGTAGATTTAATATAAAGCAACACTTTTATTGTATGACGTCAGTGCGCCAACTGTGCAAGGCGATAGGTTTTTCTTTACTGATATAACTTCTAACTTCATATTTCTTTATGAGTATACGTCATGGAAATCTGAAACCAATTTGTAAATACATATACATAAAAACTAGCTGTATGACACTAGTATAAATTCTTTGTTTCACACTGTCTTGTGACATGTTTGAATGTTCATCTGCGATGATACAATATGGAAAAACCGTTTCTCTGTTCGTTCAGATTTACTTTCTCATCTGAGGTCATGGTAATTAGACCGCCGTTAGTGGTAGAGCGTCCGCCCGGAGACCGGAAGGTCCGGGGTTCGATCCCCGACCGCGTCATACCAAAAGACGTTAAAAGATGGTACTTGTTGTTGGGGCGGAGGTTTCAGATCCAAAAGCGATCTTGGCGGGTGTGTCACAGGGCTCGGTCTTGGACCATCGTTGTTTATTATTTAGACTGAACAACAAAAGTTCCTGTGACATTAAATAAGATTTAATGCAAAGTTATGTTTTTTACCAAATCTGAAACAATTTCGGTTTGCAACAGATAAAAGACTCCTGTAAGTGTTCAAATGGTTTAATTTGCCATTAGAAAATGCATGATTTCATACCATAACGCTGCCGACCTGCTTCAAGCATACCAATCTGTTCGCAGACGTTCATTTTCGGACAGGCGTGGCATTTCGTAATGTTAAATAATTGCATAATTTTGTTGTTTTTCTGAGTGGTTGTCAGCACGATGCTAAACAATGCATATGGAATCACGTTAACGCACACGATTCTTGGGTAGTAAAATACATAGGGCTTGCATAAAAGTCAACTTTTGCATGGAATGCATGCTTTTCTGTAGCAGTTGCGTTTTTGTGACTTGATTCCATACATGTACTACAAAATTGAAAACCAAACTTTACTTGTTTGAACAATACACTAAAATATTGGTGTCACACGAACTTTTGTTGTTGAGTATAGTTCACAGGAGCTAATGCATTGCACACAACTGGACATGTCATATTGGCGGGGGATATGAGTATTTCATGCTTATTGATTTTAATATGTCACTTAGACGAAGTTGTTTGATCAAACAATTACTGTAGTGATGCTTACAAGCCTTCCATGTAACGGTTACCCCCCGACGGGTATGTTATTTTAGGCCTGGTCAGTGGAAGAACAGCCAGACTTTTGATGACAGCTGGCTGGGACAGAATGGGTTTATTCCAATTCTGTTTCCGCTTTTTTCTGTTTGTGCATTGTCAATAACATCACACATTGACTTTACCCGGTCTGAAAGACTTCCAGCAGCTTCCTCTTCTCTTTTGGCCCTTTTTTGACAGCATCCATAATGATTTTAAAGTTGTAAGGAGGCTGCTTAGGATTTTTTTGGTTGATAATGTAATATCTGACAAAAGGTTGTCACCTGTCCATAGGGATAGTGCATTATTTGGGTTTTAAAGCCGCTTTTAACAGTATTACAGTTATATCGCCGCGTGTTGGGGGAAAGCTCGAAGGGATGCAGGTTTCGGACGTTTACCACTTTGGTGAAACCCACGAGCCCAGGTATGGTGCTGACAAACCTAGAAACATAATCGGGGCGAACCAGGATTCGAATCCACAATCATAGGTTTCTGGTGTGCCCAAGGGACGCAAGTCTGCACAGCGAATCGCGGCGCCTTAAGACAACTGGGCCACCCCTGCCCCGTCTATAGGGATAAGGGAGAGAACCACGTGTCTCTTTTCCTCAATCCCACTGTACATTCAGACAAAAAACCATGTCAGTAAATGTCATGTATTATTCTGTGTATTTTAAAAACAATTGGACCCGACCCATTACGCAGACCAATGACGCAGGATAAGGTGAACTTTTACCCCATCAAACAACAGTTGTGCAAAAAACAAACCAACAACATACAACTTTCTTCTTTTTTATTGATAGAATATATATATTTACTTATGACCCAACATCACAGAATAAATATAGTGACTATTTTGAGGACTACAATGTTAATTGACAGTTCAATAGTTTATACCATAAGTTATACAATTGCATTTAGGAGTTCTCAAAATAGTGTAAATGAAATTGTAACCAAATGGAGTCACTGTATTGTAATTCATTTTGGCCCAAACAGCAGTTTACCCTGCAAACCACTGCCATCATTCCTTCAGCAGCTGAAGCCATGCTTACAGTTATGTTAGGTATGTCTATCTGCAATATGTATCTGCACCATCTACTGTCAACAAGCCGACAATGATCAATATGACAATAGCCCATACATATTTTATCACCTTTTTAGGGAAGTTCATACTGGTGTTAAAATACTGAGCAATACACTATTAGATCAGAATAACCACAGTCACTTTGCAGGGTAAAATCCACTAAAATTATCAACGAGCAAAGAGCAAACCCTTTGAACTGTATATACAATGGGTAGTTTAAAAATCAAAGGTATGCCATCCCCTTGTTTATAACACAACATACTAGTTTGTAACTGCAACAGTGATTTCTCTTTTGCAAACCATAACGGTTTGACTTCAGGGGAAGAAACTACTGATGAGGAAGATTGCACAAATAAAGAGACTATTTGGGTGCAAAGTAGCACCAAGTTGCTTGCCTACACCTTAAATGGATTACATAAAACTGGTCCTTTGTACAAAACATTTCCACAATTTTCACCATTTCTCCTTATTAATCCCTTTCTCAACTGCAGCAAAATTGAAGATTCAGTTTTGTTCATTTGGGTAAAATTGTGGAAATGTTGAAATTAAAAATGAAACATAAAAAACCCAAGGAATACTAATGCCCGTAGCATGGGATGGAAATGATGCTTGCCATTTTGTTCAGGTGACCACAGCCATTGATGAGACTAAAGACTAATACAGTGTTACATGTACACATTGATGATCACTTGAATCAGGCAAGTTGACTCACATTTCCCAGTGACCAAAACCTTCTAGTCCAATATTTTGTATGAATGATTTTCCAAAGCTTTTATTTATTTTTACAAATGATTAGTCACATGCAATGTTTACAAGTCAACTGAAATTTGGCTGATGTCTGTATGCTATATTGCGTCGCTCCTAACTGATCAAGGGCCAGAACTCCAACAAACCTTCAATGTTCCACCAATGAGCAGAACTCCGATTTTTGGACGGCACCCAAAACATTCTATTCCCATACAAGTGATCTACGAAAGGACTGTTTCTCACAGGACATCTTACCATGAACGTTTGTCTTAAGAGCTATTGTTTCAAAATAGTCCTTTCTTTCCAAGTCTAAATCTTATAGGGAGAAAATCTGTGACGGGTCATGGTAATGAGGCAATCAACATTAGCAGAAATCACCAGTTGTGCATTGAAGTGTGCATCTGAAATGTTTATTCTTCATAATCTAAACAAACTAACAATATCAAAGTAAATACTTGCTTTGAAACTGTTATATGAACAATGTGCTTATGATGCAGGTGATAATACAATATATATGGCATTTACAAATAATAATACACGTAAGCCTTCAATGGCAAGGAAATACATGCCTCTGAACCTGAATGGGATTACATATGCTGCAAGGCTTGTCTGAACATTCATGATTTGTATGTACACTTGGATGTAGGAGGGGAAGGTTAGTATTTTGACATTTTCATGACTAGATTCTGATCTGGTAGATCAGTGTGTTCAATCACATCTCATGGGTTTGGTCAGTGTTTTCTTCTTTGGTCACAATACAGGAGAGATAACTTTATCAACATCCAAATGATAATGCGTTTTGTTTACCTTTCCTATTCCTTGTATTACAGACTTAGTTCAACAATGAAAACATCAGGCAAATCTGAAAATACTACAGTGGCAAGGCATGCAAAAGACTTATGTAAGTACATAACGAAAAGTCTCAGTGTATGGATGTATAGAACAAGAATGGTTAACAAAAACTTATGGTTATTTGAGAATGTATCACCATGTATTTAATGATAAAAAATAATATCAGTGATTATGTACAATAGCCATGCCATAACGAAAGCATGAGATGAAACCATGAACTGATAATTTACAACACAATATCACAATAATTTAACACAATTGCTGCATTGTTAAAAGAGATTCATCAGTTAAAACATCCTTCCAGGGGATGGCATACCAGTTTGAAACCTCTAAAAATTCGTGTACTCCCTCTTAACAAAATAAGATTTCCGTAAGTCGACCTCTTCAGTCAAAGTCCATAGCAATGATTCATTTGTCATTTTTTCACATTAATTGTGTTCTCACTTTTAAAATTTTAATCACATTCAAGTGAGAAACAAGTCTTCATTCCATTTCTTCTATGACTTAACAGGAATGACCACTAACATGGAAAAAATACCAAATAAATGTCACCCAATTCCTGCTGTGTATATATATATATATATTCCTTTGGTCCCTATCAAAGTGACTGATGAGTTTGAAGTCATAAATCCACATCTGACTAACCCACTGACTGAAGAGGAGGCCTTGTGGCAGAAACCCAGTACTCTGTTAAGCTGAATAAGTAGATTCTTCAATGACATAATGGAACCCTCCCTATGAAGATGGATCAAATGACAGATCACCATGGTAACAGTTCTGTTCCTTTTATGTCAGACAACAGTAATATTTGTCAACAAGATGTCACATGCACATTTCTAATCAACCTTCCTAGGGGAATTAGAATGATGCATGCTTGATTGTTAACCAGGAGCTTCATGCCGACACAGGGGATCTGGTTTAAGCAGTTTGCATTATTAAAATTCAACAAGGAAAGTACCAATAAAGCTATACAACTCTACATTAAAATAAAACAAGAGCCTAGTGGTGACACCGACTTTATACCCACAGATATTAAGCATAAAATATCCACTGTGTTACTTGATTTAGTTACACAATGCCTTCATGACTGAACAGGGCAAGCAGAGCCCTGACCCAAGTTGCTGTACGCCCAGGTCGATGACCTGGCCATCCCAGGGCTTGGGCGACCTGCATCTGCTTGACCCGTCCACCACCGGTCAACGATCCAATGCCTACTCACCCGAGTCAGAGCCTTCCTCATAAGGTATGATTTTGTATTGTCAGCTACAGAAATAGTACAGCACCATTTGAACACATCCAATGCTTTGCAAAATTGTGAGAACATTGAGATGTTTTTGACAGATTTTTTTTCTTGTGAATTAAGCAATTAGACCGATGAGTCTCGCTGATACACATGCACACATAACATACTTACGTACATACATACAATTATAGTTTAGAATGAAAATAAGTATTTGTTGATCTGTACAATAACGGCAGCCATATTTTGGGGCTCGGACCACCATATAACAAGAATATTAGAATGACTAGCTTGTGAACACATTATCTCTCTAACAAGTGAGTAGGACAAAAATAAAATTACTTGTTTGGATAATATACATTGTACACACATGTGTAGGAAAGATACCCCCCAACACATAATACAAGCAGATGGAAACAGGAAGTGGCTAAAATTATCTTGGCATCTCTAATTATGTACATAAAAATCCATTTATTTTCATGTGTAACTTTTGATGAAATGTAAATGCAGATCGGTATAACACCATGCAGTTCTCAACAACAAAAACAATCAGAATAGCAGTAGACCACTGAGGAATCGCTGTCATTAATAACACCTTCAATGTCATGGAAGAAATTCCTATTTCCCCAGATACGTAAAGCAGCTTTAGGTCGAAGTTTCAGACCAGCAAGTGTCACAAGTCAGCCGACATACAGTCAAAAATTAACAACATTGAATGACCGAACGACAACATCTTGAAACAATTTGTCCTCAAGATTCGGCTGCTCATGCCCCTGCAGTCCAAATGCTTCCACCTTTGGGATGCGTTTTGGACTTTGAGTTTAAGCACTTGAGCAGCTGGCATAAAGTGGCGACATCCCAGGATATTATACACAATAGTTCCTCCCACCATTAGTTCCCCCCTCACGAACTGTAGCTCGCAGAGCAAGCAATGTCACTAGACACGCATATTTTGGACCCTTCATTCTAGGAGCACATCTCAAATCTAAGCAGTCTGCCTGTCATGTCTCTCGTTATGCAACAGGTATTATCAGTGGCATGAACAAATGATTATCTTCATCTCGTGTGTGCCATGGCATAGTACTGATCCCTTTTCTCTCGACCACTTATAGAGATTTACATGAATATACTCTTCCGACTTTCTTTTCTCTGTTAGCACTAAACTTGAAGCAAATTCTTTTCAATGAAACATGATGAAATTCTGTGAAACAGTCGGGCCTGCTGGTTCCCTACACGATGCCGGTCATCAGCTATACCACAGTTAGGATCCTCTCTCCGGGAAACATATACATATGCCTCTTCATGTGTTCCACAACAAGCATCAGCGGCTCGAATGCCTCATGTTTATCACTTGTTGTGTCACAAAGGCAATGACGAAGGCTACGATCACAAAGCCTACAAAAATAATGGTTGCCCATTGCTGGTCAGTCAGTGGCTTTGGCTCGGCTAGTTTGCTGTTATTCTCGACTCTAGTTGTGGCCTGTTTGGTGGGTTGCGGACTCAGTGTGGAGAAGCTCCTGCCTTGGCTAAATGCACCCATTATGTCACCGAGTCCACTGTCACATTGTCGAATAGCACACACGCGCACATGGTAATCCGACTTTGGCTGCAAGTTTTCTATGAAGAACTGCGTGTTTGGTCCCCGATAAACCTGAAATAAAAAATCTCACATTTACAGTTCCTGATAATCTCTATTCATTCTTTGTGCAGTCTATGTAATTAAGCATTAAACAGGGATGCTCAGTCCGATATTCGGCCCCAAGCCTGCAGCATAAAATATTTTCACAATTCATGTCATAAAGCTGTAACTAAAGGTATGGATTAGCAGAGGCGACTTGTATTTCTCGGATAACAAGACCAATAATGAAGTTGATGCATATAATGCCTTGTGAAAATACTTGTCAATTTAATGAAATCAGAAATTTCTTAAAACACAATTTCGAAAAAAAGGCATTTAGTGTCAAGTCCTAGATAGATCCCTGTGAAACTCATAGGGTCGTCGTCATTTCCCTAAAAGATTTAAGTAGCCTCCAGATTCAAATACTACAGGAGCAAATCTCAAGGACCCCAGCATCCCCTTGTTTCAAAACCCGCTCTTGGGTAGGATATACTTATCAACATGTCTGCAGCTCATCTGGTGAGATATATAATTTGTAGGCGAGACATGTTAGTCCCCGTTCAAATTGTACCACAGTAATGTTTAGGAATATGATGAACCGTGTGGCAGAATCCTTGTCTGGAATACACACTCCAAACTGATTGGTGAGTTATCTCCCTTGCACAAGGGCCAGCAACTTGTCCATCAAAGACACCAATGTGCATATATCATAAGTAACATAGATGCCCACTTATTTGAAGCATTATTGACATATATATATATATGTAAATATGGGAACACAGCTCAAATATGTCATATTCAGCTTACTTCAAGAAACACATAATCCAACAGCAGAACACACCTTAACATGAAGAAATTGACATCAAGATTCTAGACTGTGACACGTGTTAGTAATACAAAACATTAATATTTATCCAATCCTATCAAGACTGAGAAGCCAGTGTGACCCCATACAACATCATCCCCATCCCCATCCTCACCTGTTTGTACTCGTGGTCGTGGCTGTCCACCCTCTGTACCTGCACGAGGTACACGATGGTGTCACTGCCCATCTGCCGGCAACTCTGCCACTCCACAACACAGCTAGTCAGGCTCAACTTGCTCACTGCCGGTGCTACAACAAGCAGAAACCGATATTCATACAATCACCATAAAAACAGAGTGCACGAAAAAGCAATGTCGGGACATGTAAATAAGGCCAACACTTTTATCACGATTTGAGAAAATTTCTCAACATACTCGTTTTCCTTAAAACAAGGGAATATTGAAAAAATAAATACTACGGAACATTTTGCTTGATTGAGAAATGTTGAAAATGTTATCAAAATTTCAAGGAAATGAAAGATGGAATTTGAAGTCATCACAATGTGACTAACACAAAGTGATGAAAATAGAGATTATCAGCTTGGTGTATTACGTTATTGTAAATAGCATATTTAGGAATAAAACATGTATTATGTAAGCCTTAGGATCTTAAGGAAAAACATCTTAACGGAAACATAAGATTGTAATAATCAATTTATCACATAATGTCCTTTTCACAATAATGGATGTTTAAGACATAATGTCACACTGTGAAGTAGCTTCCAACACAGCGACATATTGGGGAACCCCCCTCCAAACACACTGGGAACGCAAGTCAACAATTTTTATCAATAACGGCATTCCATCGATGTATGGGGCTTGAATTAGTTCCTCTTCGCCTTAGGTGACCTCATTTTCATATATTAGGTCTTGAGACCAAGTTCATCGGACATCATCAATACTACTAGCCTTTACATGATAAAATCACTTTTCTAATGTTATCAACTGACTATTGTTACAATGTATAAGAATTATTGGTTAGTAACAAATGTTACATAACACTTTCTTAGTAAAGTACAGATTCTAGTACTTTTGTGGGTTAAACCCATCTGGGATTCAAACCCACACTGCCAGAGTGTGGCACCTAATCGCCAGCACACATCGTCAACAATCTAATCCACTCAGCCACCGAGGCTTCCACAAAATGAAAGTCCGACAACTGGTAGTCTAGATCACACTTTGTGTACCCCTCTGACAAGTGTAAATTGGCACAGCTCCGGCAGCCAAAAGCTATGAACATACAAAGCCATTTAGAAAGTGGACAAATGTAAGAAATGTCATATTTGGGATAACACTTTCTTAGTGTCAGAGGGGTACACAAAGTACGTGATCTAGTCCACAAGATGTCGGACTTTCGGTGGCTGAGTGGGTTAGATGGGTATGGTTTTCAGTGGTAAAGTGTTTCACATCCAACAAAACAAAATGGTCAAATTGATGCAGGGATGGATGGCAAGTGTGTCCTTATCTAATGGATGGTCAGTACAGCAGGAGAGTGTGACAATCTTGAAAGACAAAACACCGGAAGCATAATTATCTTACTTTGCATTGCAGGCGGGGGTGCTTTCGTGGTGGAGAACGTATAAGTGTCGGAGTCAGGTCCTTGTCCAGCCTCATTGCACGCGTAGATGCGGAACTCATAGCTCGTCAGCTCTGTCAGGCGGTTCACTTTGTGATTGTGAGCAGGGCCACTGTACACGGTTTGGAAACTGAAACACACCATAAGACTTATGTTGAAGTACTAAGTAAGGATCAGATATAGGGATGAACAACTTCCTTATTACAATTACAGTTTCGGAGTACGTTCTAACATCCACTTGCTTGATAACGCTGTCAGAACCTTCACTGAAATGTTGCTCCAAATTGTAACAAAGAAGTTGCTAATCGACATATCTTATCCTTACCATAAGACATTACAACTTTCTGACCAATTATGGCATAAACATTACTAAAACAGTGGGTATTTCATGTTATGTCTATCCAACATTTCTCCAGGGGGACGGTCATATATAAAAAATAGTAAGCATGCTCTGGTGTGGTAATAATTCAAGGTACTGTTGATAATCTGTGATACTTGCCATGATATGTACAACACACACCAATACCTGTACATATTTTGGACCAGTTACTATGACCAAAAAACACAATTCAGGAGAAAACTACTTGTCCTTCAGCTTTTCACCAGTTTCTGGGTGAGGACATCAATAGCATAAGATCGTATCCCTAATGATATCATCAGTAACCAACCTTCCATCGTCCTTCTCCATCTCCAGATGATAAGTGATCATGTCTGGATTGCGACCATCACCCCACTTCAGCTTGAGGCTGTTGGGGGCTACATTGACACACTCAATCTTCGGGGGATTTGGAGGCAAAGCTTTAGTTGTTACTTTAACCGGGGTACTGAAAGCTCCCACCCCAATGCTGTTGACGGCCTGGATGCGAATTCTGAAACATTGATCAATATGTATTGACAACTGAGAAATTAAGGAATGAATACATCCATACTTAGTTTAAGTCATGGGTATTTATATTCATGAACAATATATCCCAGATGAAATTTCAGTAAGCTGACATATACCCGGTAGTTAAATACAGTTATGGTTACACCCGCATCGTACAGTAAACTGTGTTTATAATGAACACGCTCATAACGAACTGATATATAACGAACTGATTTTTCGGTCCCGGACATTTGCTGTATATATCCTTATAGTGAGTGAGAATGGTTTTACGCCACTTTTAGCAATATTTCAGCAATATCACAGTGGGGACACCAGAAATGGGCTTCACACATTGCACCCATGTCGGGAATAGAACCCGGGTCATCGGTGTGACAATCAAACCCTTTAACCACCAGGCTACCAGACTGCCCCTTACATATATATATATATCCTTATAACAAACTACAGTTATATAGAAGTAGAATGAGTGCTCCCTTTGAGTTTATTATAACCATAGTTAGTAGGGGTGAAACGATACATAGGTGCATTGTGAGTTTTCATGTGATGATACGATACATGATACATTTTTATTTCTGTATCGATACACTTGCTGAAATAAATTACTTACTCCTCATTAAATAAGCCCTGGCATTTTTGTCAGTCATATATAGCTTAATAGGTTGTAATTAGCGTTTCAAGTTCACTACTAAAAATAACCGCTACGAAATATTTATTGTCAAGAAGTTTCCATGCGATTTGATGTAAACATGAGTATCGCAATACATATTGTATCTTGACCTATGTATCGTGATAAGTATCGTATCGTGACCTTGCTGTATTTTTCACCCCTAGTGGTTTACTGTAGTTATGACTACAGTGAGACTGGTTTTACTCCACTTTTAGCAATGTCCAACAATATCACAGCCAGGGACACCACAAATGGGCTTCAAACAGTGAGCTTGTGTTGGAAATCAAACCCAAGCCATCTGGATGATGAGCACCTTAACCAGTAGGCTGCCCCACTGACCAATCTATCCAAACACTACCATCATGGCATCTATGTGTTAAGCAATGTGGTTTGATACACATCATCTACAGCAAAGACTTCCAATGTTAGGTACAGGTGACTAAGTGGCATGGTGACACACACACTGATTCTTAACACCCATTCCTCATCTTCGTCAGTCTTTATGACCCATTCTGCCCTATATACCCCAGGCTGAGACGACTACATAAGATATTTCTAAACAACTTTTAACAGGTGTCATTACCAATTCCTTTGTTTGCTTGTTGTTTAACGCCACACTCAGCAATATTCCACCTTTATGATGGTTTACATCATGAGCATCGATCCACGCAAGTGGGATACGATGACATGAATCAAGCAAGTCAGCGAGCCTGACCACCTAATCCTGTTAGCCGCCTTTTACGACAAGCATAGTCGCCTGTTGCAGCAAGCATGGGTTGGTTGCTGAAGACCTATTCTACCCCGGATGTTCACGGGTCAGCAGTTCCTTTGAAGGTGGGGCGGTCGGGTAGCCTAGTGGTTAAAGCGTTAGCTCAACACGCTGAAGACCCAGGTTCGATTCCCGACATGGGTACAATATGTGAAGCCCATTTCTGGTGTCCCCTGCCATGATATTGCTGGAATATTGCTAAAAGCGGCGTAAAACCTCACTCACTCACTCCTTTGAAGGTGACTTATCTTCAATACAGGTTTGTCTATAAATGGCGGAAACTCACCTGTATGTAGTCTCTGGCAGGAGGTCTTCTATCGTGTATTCTGTGACAGGCTCGATGGTGAGGAGCTGTTTTTCACCAATGTCAATATTGTATGAGATGATGTCACTGCCGTTATTATGGGGCTCCCGCCACATGAGCATGATAGATGTGGCTGTGATGTAAGGTTTGATTGCAACAATGGACGCTGGACTAGACGGAGGTGTGACGCACGAGGAGGACGAGGAGTAGAGGCCAGAACCAGCACTGTTGATTGCCTGGAGAAACAATATCCCAAAATGACACAACGGACATCTCAATAGAGGGCTTATTAACTTGGTTATCGTTTGTAAAAACCTAGTGTAAGTAAAAAATATAGCAATCATGTACTGCATCTTAAGCATGACCCTGAGCCACTAGAGTATCTGTTAGCATTCAAGAACAGTCATTTAAAGTATAGGCTGTATTTCCTGGCTCTCCATCACTACATTGTCATTGTTACCATCTTCCATCATCCAGGGTATATTTCCATTCTGCAATGAGCAATACCCTTGAAGAATTCACGAACATACTTCAAGTGACATGACACTATAACTAGACATCCAATCATATTTCACTGTTCTTTCACAAATGAAGAAATAATGGCAGACCAATGATATCCCAAATACTCAACTCAACATTCTTTTGCAGTCTAAAATACGATAGGGACTTCCCTCCCCCACCCTTACAACAGCAGTCAGAGAAGCATCTTTTCCAGTAAAACAAGACTTCTGATTCGATTAAAACTTTCAAGGGCACACTTGTATTTTGAAAGTAGACCTGCACCAAACACATTCAGAATAGGCATTTTGAGTGGTTGTTGATATTTCAAGCCTGTCAGCCAGAAAAAATCTGAGGTATAAGTTTTCTAAAAGTGATGACCAAGATGAGTTGGGGATGTCACTTCTGAAATGAAGCTGTGTTTGCAAATGGGTCTAGGGCATTAATCTCATACAAAGGTAACAGAAGGGAGATAAAATACACTGGAATAATGGAGGATGTACTCTCACACATATCAGCATCCCTGTGATTATCAGACATGGCTGCATCTTACCTGAACCCTGAAGGAGTACAGTGTTGCTGGTGTCAGACCCTTCACCTCGTAACTCAAATTTGGACCCAAGTATAACTGCAACACAAAAACACATCCTAGACACAGGGACAGTGTAGAGCGAGCTGGGTTTAAGGTCGCTTTGAACAGTATTCAAGATATTTCACAAAAGTAATAATTATCAAGACCAAGGCCAGGCCAATCAAGGATTAACAAGATTACCCCACTTGGCACCAGGGTGTGTTATATACAATGTTTCGGGGCTTGTTATTTTTGTAATGACCCTGCACATGCAGCATGATGAGGCGGGACGATTTGATTTGTTTGTTTCTTGTGGAACACCACACTCAGCAATATTCTAGCTATATGATGGCGGTTTGTAAATAATCTGGACCAGACAATCCAGTGATCGATTACATGAGCATCAATTTACGCAATTGGGATACTATGACATGCATCAGCCAAGTCAGTGAGCCTGACCACCCGATCCCGTTAGTCGCCTCTTACGACAAACATAGTGGCCTTTTACGGCAAGCATGGGTTGCTGAAGACCTATTCCAACCCAGATCAACACATTACTGTACCTGAGAGAACTCATTGTTGTCAGCCCTCTGCTGCCACTCCAGCCTATAGTCTGAAATCATAGCACCGTTGTTGAAGGGCTCTTCCCATGAGATTATTGCACTGTGTGGTGAGCGACAGTTAACCTGGGGTGCCTTGGGCGGGTCGGGGACTCCCGCTCCACTCACCACTTCCAGGGGGTCGGACCATGGCCCACCCTGAAAATAACAAGCGACCAATATAGCACACTCCTTCTTAACAATCTGGCCAAACTAACATGTCACTAATTTATATGGCTGAACATTATGATGATGATGACGATGCTTTTATTCAGGTAATGAGGCCACCGGCCCATTATACACGTGCAGAGCATGATGGCATACAAATGTGACAGAGCGCTGAATTATAAGATTTACAATGCGGTGTTCAAACTGTTAATATTGGAGTTAATTATAATTAATTATGTATTTATATATTTACTTAAAGATATACTTGATATCAAAAGACTAAAGGATGAAATTTCTATTTATTGGTTTAGGTCGGGAAAGTGTGCTGAATATACACAGAATGTTTTTGGAGATGAGACTCCAGCAGAATGACACAGGAAAGAAGTGAGCTTTTCCTGCCTTGCACATGCATAAAAGCAATGGTGGAGGAAAACTGTTATCCACACAACTAATTAAGGTCAGCTGATGGTGAAGAGGACTTCAATTGAAAATTGAAACGATTTTTATAGTACAGTGACAGCCAATTTACAGGAATATGGTAATGATGTGATAGAGGTACGATATTTGCAGGAATTAAGTTTGCACTTAAATTTGAAAAGCACTTCTAATCATTCTGCTGAAAGCAAAGATGCATGTCCACTACAAAGAGATGTGCACACAATAGTTTAAAGTGCCAGACGATAAGGACACAAAAAGTTAAATCACAAGACAAGCTTAACACTGCACACATTACAACTCATACTACTCAACATCAGCTAAGGACCAAAACAGTCATCTTTAGTCAAAGGCATGGTTCTTAGCAAATGTTCAGTAGTATATTCAAAGAACTTTAAGAAAAACAAAATGAATAATGTTTTTCATATTTAACTTTTTCCCCCTTCCCCGACCTGTATGTTTCCATAAATGAAGGAACAAAAAGACGTTTGGTCTGACCATGAATTAATGTTGAAAATCCAGTGACATACCCCTGCCCTATTGAAAGCTCTGACTTGAAAGAGATATGGTCTTCCTGGGGACAACCCTGCCACGATGCAGTCGAGGTCATGTCCCCTGTACACCTCCCTGGTGGTGTTATCCGGTGTGATCATTTGAGCTGCGTAGGACGTCACAGAAGAACCACCATCATAGCTAGGATAGCCTTCAAGCAGAAATAAGTGCAATCAGTATACAGGCAATCTGTTTAGATGGTCAATGAACCATATAAAAGAGTGAGTTTAATCAAATCATGAAAATGTCCTAATGCACCTTATCTCTAGAAACATCACAGAGGACATTCTGTTTTCACTGAATCCATTACATATTATTTACAAGAACTTGTCTCGAATGGAATAATGAGAGTCCAGCCTCCATGTAATTTCATAAGCAATGTTGAAAAAAATTAAATCTTGTTTGAATTTGAAACAAATAAAGGAAGAGAGATAAGCTCCCCAGCAGCTATTATTGACATTGTGTGCTGTACTTTATGTTTCCATGACTTACTCCATCGGAGATGTAAGGATGTTGCTTTAGGTTTGCCCTGCAGTTTCGGAGGGTGACTCTGTCCTGGACATACTGGTTGTGTAATTGCCATACAACAGTCAGAAAACTGAAAAACAACAAAATCATTTCTCAACTACAAAAATTTTCAGTTTTCTCATTTCATATTCAAATTGCAATCAAAGTCATTCTCTAGAACTAGAATTATTACACAGTTTACCTGTCCCTAGCTGTGGAGTTGAGAATCAACTTATCAATGAGTGAGTTGGGTTAAACGCTGCTTTTAACAGTATTCCAGTTATATCACAACGTGTCAGCTTAATGTGGGAGGAAAGCCTGGAGTGATGCAGGTCTCAGACGTTTACCACTTCAGTGAAACCCACGAGCACGGGTATGGTGCTGACAAGCCTAGAAACATAATCGGGGCGAACCGGGAACCCACAATCATAGGTTTCTGGCGTGCCCAAGGGACACAACTCTGCACAACGAAGTGCGGTGCCTCAGACAACTGGGCCAACCGTGCCCCCCGACTTATCATATAATATATCATATACATTCATAAATATGACATTACTTACACAAAAAGTTAATAACAAATTTCTTCATCATATTCCATTTCAAGAACAAGAAACAACATAATCACATTGACACCATCTGACTCAAAGTCGATCTTACCTCACTCCTACCCCCTAAACTGTAGCACGCGACCCTCACGCGATATGTGTGGCCGGGGACGAGATGATCAAACATGTGCTCCCTCTCCGACCCCTCATAGACTATGTCATAACCTGCAAAAACAATAAACAACCATCAAACCAGTATTTAACATATCACACTTCAGAGATTATGTAACATCATTATATATTTATATTTTTAACAAGGTCACATTACTCCTTTTCCAAAAACTTGAATAACCATTAATGATAAGTCATTTGTTATGAGATATTCAAAATGTATTGCAGTAAACTGACTAAATTGTTAAAGGAGAGCTTCTGTTCTGTTACTGTCGTACTAGCATTTACAATAGGCTGAGAACAGTTCAATAGTCAATGCTGGTATTGTGAAACTTAGCAGATACTGGTGGGGTATCACAGGGTGAAATGGCTTATTTACACACACACACAGAACAAAGGATGGATACACCAAGGACCAAATCATTAACGTCATGCATAATAGTCTTCTCCAAGGCATCCAAAACATTCATTTACCATCTAGCATCTCATCCTTGTTACCCTGTGGAAAATGCCTTCATCCTATGTCGATATATACCCAGACCCTTTCACTAACATAGATTTGTTTTCAGCCTCATTCGAAAGTAGCGATGCTAAAAATAGACAAATTACTCCCGTAACCGAATAAAATCCTGCGCTAAGATAGAGATAGAAGACTTCTGAATTTATGGGTCTTTGGTACTTATCAAAACAGAATTGAGAAATAATCCACTGGATAATCGGGTATGGTGGATTCTGTGACATCATTAATCATTCTGGTCTACTGATGAACTGGTGATCTCAAAACAGCTCTATTCAGGTAGCAACTGATATATGTAACCGTCGGGATACCGGGGCAGAGAAGGCTCTCAGAACCCCATGCTTATTGCCAGCCTATGACAGTCAAGGGGGGTACGATGGGGACCTGGCTCACAGTGTGTCACTGTGCTACTGATATATGTAGCCGGGATACCGGGGCAGAGAAGGCTCTCAGAACCCCATGCTTATTGCCAGCCTATGACAGCTAGTCAAGGGGGTTACAATGGGGACCTGGCTCACAGTGTGTCACTGTGCTACTGATATATGTAGCCGTCGGGATACCGGGGCAGAGAAGGCTCTCAGCACCCCATGCTTATTGCCAGCCTATGACAGTCAAGGGGGTACAATGGGGACCTGGCTCACAGTGTGTCACTGTGCTACTGGTATATGTAGCCGGGATACCGGGGCAGAGAAGGCTCTCAGAACCCCATGCTTATTGCCAGCCTATGACAGTCAAAGGGGTACAATGGGGACCTGGCTCACAGTGTGTCACTGTGCTACTGGTATATGTAGCCGGGATACCGGGGCAGAGAAGGCTCTCAGCACCCCATGCTTATTACCAATTCATGACAGTCAAGGGGGTTACAATGGGGACCTGGCTCACAGTGTGTCACTGTGCCTAGATGGCACAGATCACTGCTGGCCGTCAACCACTGACTTGAGACTTGAGTATTCACAGGCGTAGGTGGTACATTGCTTACTGCGGCATAACACAGCATTCACTCACAGACAGACATAACCAACTGAACACAAATACAGCATTGGGGGAATCATGCACCATCAACACTTTACCTCCTCCTTATAGTAAGCAACGCAAAAGTGCATTGAAAAAATTAGTAATTTGCGAAAAACATTTCTTTTTTTATTCACTGCAAATGTTTCAGTTCTGCTGAATCACAGTGAGGGATGTAGCTGAATGCATAAATATTTCATGCATAAAAGGCATTCCTCATACTCCAACAAACATAAATCATTAATTGCTGATTAACAGCACAATCAATCTGAGAAAGCATGCACAGTCATGGGCTTAAATGAGAAAAATATTGATATTTGGATAAATTGGTGTATATGTTCCATTTTCCCTAATAGGGTTTGAATCCCCGTGGGGAAAGTGGTCCTGCTGCAGGAATTACCGTATTCGACCTAATAAACGCCCAGGGCGCTCTCAAAATTAGAAATAGGGGGCTCTTATTAGAAAAAAAAAAGAGTTGAAAGATCGTAAATTCTGTGGTTTATGCTGACAGCCTGAATGATACAAGAGAAAAGTCTGTGCGTATTATACACGACAGATAAATTTTTCAAGAATTTAATTGCCCATAATTAAGGGTGCATATAGCACACGAATGCGTATTATACACGAATAAATAGGTCTTGTGTACATTAATCAATCGGAAGGGGTGCTAAATAGGATTGTTCACTAGCCATGCAAGATATTAGCAAATATCACCGTGGGCGCTTATTAGAGCGGGGCGCTTATTACGTCGAATACGGTATGATGTGCATGAAGTGAAATTTATTATTGAGTAGTTGGCAGAATCGAGGCATGCATGCTTCAACCAGGCTGTGACACATACCTTCGCCATCATCCAGTTCAAGAACAAACTTGGTGATTTCTGAACCTCCCGAGTCACCAGGTGGATCTGAAACAACAACAGACCAATCTGTCATGCAAGTGACAGTAGTGGGTGTGGCCGACACCAGCCATGATACCAAGCCTAACTTACAGGTAGACAAGCTCAACGATCTAGAGCTCATATCCACTCTGGGACTAGATGTTTTTATCAATGCCATAAGTAAAAAAACTGTCTATCTATAATTAAAATAATTATTAACTGCTATATTGTGCAACGTGATAAATTTTGAGTTTGTAGATGACCAAAGTGAGGTCTTAACAACTGCTGTGAAAACTGATAGGACTGTAACTTGAACCCCTTGTTTGATAGCAAATCATTGTTAGGGACTAGTGAAATAAAATTAATTTGTAACCTGATTGCAGTAGTCATGGGTTAACATGACACTTGATAGTGTTTGGCTCCTGACATTACAAGACATTTCTGTTCAAGCTGTTGTATCATCAGTTGTTGGAATCAGAGGCATGTTATAGAGATTGATTATTCAGAATTGACTGATTATTCTCCAAATTCATTGCAGAATGAGTAGGGGTGTACGGATTGCAGTGCCAGTATTTGAAATTGTGTGGGGTCCTGGGGTCCTCAGGATTAGCTCCTATAGTAGTTGGATCTAGGGAATTTTTACTGACATTTGCTGCAGGCTTGGAGCCCAAAATAAGCCCAGATAAATCCCTGCCCAAGTCCAGAAACATGTCTGTCTACCAAGTAAATGAAGAAAGAGACCGAAAGACAAGTTTGTCGTTTTTCCTTAAGTGTTGTCGTCACAGCTTGACTGTCCTCGATAGTCACACCTAAGACTGAGGACAAAACATAGGACTAAGTATGACTTAAACTCTGACAATACAAAGAGAGTCCATCTATATTCCTACTGTGACAGTCATCTTACACAGTGACCTGACTTACCCCATATGACCCTGAAGCTGTGAGCAAATATCTTTCCCTTGATCTGTGGTTTAGGTGGAGCAGTGGGGCGCTCCGGTAGTGTCTTGTGGGCCACTATATCACTCCACTTGCTTTGACCTTCATCATTTTTGGCAGCTAGCTGTAATAAGGTCACACACGCATTGACTCTTTATCGAAATCACAATTACATAGACGTCATGATGCATAGACATTTCAACAATCTTAGTTGTGACATTTCCTTGCAAGAATCACAATGATGACACCATCAAAAGTGTAAAGTTAATCATATGTAGATTATATATGAATCAGGGTTCCATTCCACATAGCAATCTTAAAGCTACCACTGTCGTAAGTCAATAATAAAGTATGGGAGTTACATTAGTCTCGGTACTAAAATTGCTGTTTGGAATGGGACCCAGGGCCCCGTTCCTCAAAGCCATCTTAGCGCTACGATGATCGTAAGCCTATGTTAAAGTATGGGACTTACGATCACCTTAGCGATAAGATTGCTTTGTGGAATGATGCCCTGGGACCCATTCAACAAAGCTATCTTAGCGCTATGATGATCGTAAGCCTATGTTAAAGTATGGGACTTACGATCACCTTAGCGATAAGATCGCTTTGTGGAATGATGCCCTGATCTTTAAAAGTATCAGCAATTTCACCGCATTCAAGCTTTCCCAAATAATCCTACCTATCAAATAACATTACAGAACAGTACTCTTTACACATACAGCCACATGGTATCTGGCATATAGTCAGGCAAAATACTTTCAACCAGACTCACCTTGAATTTGTACTCAGTATTCCTTCTAAGATTCCTTATTGTACATGAAAGGTTTGGACCATTGTAAGCAGGCAAAAAACCATGACCCTGAAAGAAAATAGTCATCCATTAAGTTCCATGTAGGGACATTAAAAAACTTAATGTTTCACCCATAGACAGTTGTACAGGAAGTTCATTGATTTTCACAGAAATAAATTCATGGACATCAAATCAATTAGTTTCTGTGCAAGAAAGAGTGAGTGAGTGAGTTGGGTTTAACGCCGCTTTTAACAATATTCCAGTTACATCACGGCGTGTCAGCTTAATGTGGGAGGAAAGCCCCAAGTGATGCAGGTCTCAGACGTTTACCACTTCGGTGAAACCCACGAGTACGGGTATGGTGCTGACAAACCTAGAAACATAATTGGGGCGAACCAGGATTCGAACCCACAATCATAGGTTTCTGGCATGCCCATGGGACGCAATTCTGCACAGCGAATCGCGGCGCCTTAGACGACTGGGCCACCCGTGCCCCCCGTGCAAGAAAGTAAAGGGAACATGGCCTCCTTTGACATTTATTGTGATAGTATGTTAATCTTGGGTCCTGATACATCTATAATTTTGAACACCAGGGTTATGACACACTGAAGTCAACTGTTAATTTTAAACACTGGTTTCTCACTCGTCGTAAATGGCACAGAGTGAGTGAGTGAGAATGGTTTTACGCCAGCAACATCACAATGGGGACACACGGCATGGACTTCACACAGGGTACCCATGTGGGGAATTAAGTCTGGGTCTTTGGCGTGAGGAGTACACGCCTTGACCACGTGGCTACCCTACTGCTCCATGGCACACAGATATCATAGGGCCTTTCATGGGCATTTAGATTTAAGTCCGGGTCTTTGGCGTGAGGAGTACACACCTTGACCACTTGGCTTACCCTACTGCTCCATGGCACACAGATATCATAGGGCCTTTCATGGGCATTTAGATTTAAGTCCGGGTCTTTGGCGTGAGGAGTACACGCCTTGACCACGTGGCTTACCCTACTGCTCCATGGCACACAGATATCATAGGGCCTTTCATGGGCATTTAGATTTAAGTCCGGGTCTTTGGCGTGAGGAGTACACGCCTTGACCACGTGGCTTACCCTACTGCTCCATGGCACACAGATATCATAGGGCCTTTGATGGGCATTTAGATAAAGTTCTTGTTCGAGTTATTCTTACCGTAGCTTCATCTTCCATTTGTAATAAAAACTCATCATCATTTGGCCTCTTGATCCATGACACTGTGAGAGCATAGACAAAGGGTTCGGACAACATCGGAGGGTCAGGTTGGGATGGTATGCTCCCGCTCGTGTAGAAGCTCACGGGCTCGCTGAACGGGCTGTAAATACACATCACATAACAGACCACCTGATACACATTCACATTAGCACCTGGGACTGATATGACTGCGGAAAGTAAATACACGAATCTGAGAAGTAATGACTCCCACAACATTTTAGTCGCCTTGTATGACAAGCTTAAGTTGCTACAGACCTATTCAACATGGATTCCCCAGTTTGATATAACTGACTTCAAAGTAACAATCACTGACAATAACAAAGGAAGTTATTCTGCTTTACAACCTGGGTTTCAGGCTGGTTCATATTATACATCAACTGATTGCCAAATAACTCCAGCAAGTTCACTGTAAACAACACATACAAATGATTTAAATGACTACCCTTATTCCTTAAAGTCATTCAAGATCTTTCAGTGTTACCAATGCAGGTTGATATTTCCTATCTGATAACTCTGTGGTCATGTCTTTGTCAACCAGCCACACAGCATGGAAACTGGTGTTCAGGAACTCATTGTACAGCATATTTTCAGACTAACTCAACATGCAATCAATACCTATCCACTTCTGGAGCTGCCGTCGGAATGTAAGATACATGGCGGAGTATTTTTTTTCTTTTTCTTTTTTCTTTATTTTTGTTGTTGTTTAACACAGCACTCAGCAATATTCCAGCTATAGTCTGTAAATAATCAAGTCTGGACCAGACAATCTAGTGATTGACATGAGCATCAATCTAAGCAATTTGGATATGATGACATGCATCAATGTCTTTTGATTGACATGAGCATCGATCTACACAATTAGGATACGATGACATGCATCAGCCAAGTCAGCAAGTCTGACCGCAAAATACCGATAGTCACCTCTTACGACAAGCAAAGGTTACGGAAGATCAATTCTAACCCAGATCCAGTAATGTACAGGGTTAGAAACTAACAGTTTTCGGGCCACTGGTCCTTATAATGATAACATATAGCAATACCCTTAAAAAGCGCAAATTTCTACTAGTCCTTATGATACCTTTACCATTGGGCAGTTTGGCAAGGACTATAGGACTAGTGCCAATTTCTAACGCTGATGTACAATATCAGGAAACACTGCATGCCAGACTTACCTCTTCCCTATACTGTTGATTGCCGCAAGCCTAAATGTGTACCTTGTGGAAGCTTGAAGTTTATTCACACGATATTGACGTTGAAGACCATTGTAGATCTCAACAAAATTCCCATCCCGATTACCCTAAGAAAGGAAAGAAGGCAGAAAATCAGAAATGAGGTATTGATCTTAACATTCAAAAATTTATTATCATCTTCTCTTGCCTAACTTTGTTATTCTATTATTTTTCTTTCAGACATTCAGGTCGTGAGAAAGGGGTACTTTGGGGAATCTATCCACAAAGAGACCTTGGTAAACATTAGGTTAACATTAGACATACTTTGCCCTGCACATGAGGTGGGTTACACTATTGGGGGGTGTATCACATATGAGGTGGGTTACACTATTGGGGGGTGTATCACATATGAGGTGGGTTACTCTATTGATGGGTCTATCACACATGAGGTGGGTTACACTATTGGGGGGTGTATCACACACGAGGTGGGTTACACTATTGGGGGGTATATCACACATGAGGTGGGTTACTCTATTGGGGGGTGTATCACACATGAGGTGGGTTACACTATTGGGGGGTGTATCACACATGAGGTGGGTTACACTATTGGGGGGTGTATCACACACGAGGTGGGTTACTCTATTGGGGGTGTATCACACATGAGGTGGGTTACACTATTGGGGGGTGTATCACACACGAGGTGGGTTACTCTATTGGGGGGTGTATCACACACGAGGTGGGTTACACTATTGGGGGGTGTATCACACATGAGGTGGGTTACTCTATTGGGGGGTGTATCACACACGAGGTGGGTTACACTATTGGGGGGTGTATCACACATGAGGTGGGTTACTCTATTGGGGGGTGTATAACACATGAGGTGGGTTACACTATTGGGGGGTGTATCACACATGAGGTGGGTTACTCTATTGGGGGGTGTATCACACATGAGGTGGGTTACACTATTGGGGGGTGTATCACACATGAGGTGGGTTACTCTATTGGGGGGTGTATCACACATGAGGTGGGTTACTCTATTGGGGGGTGTATCACACACGAGGTGGGTTACTCTATTGGGGGTGTATCACACATGAGGTGGGTTACACTATTGGGGGGTGTATCACACATGAGGTGGGTTACACTATTGGGAGGGGTATCACACATGAGGTGGGTTACTCTATTGGGAGGTGTATCACACATGAGGTGGGTTACACTATTGGGAGGGGTATCACACATCAGATGTTTTCCACTTCATTTATCACATGAGACTTTTCACAGATGAGATGGGTTTCACTGTTGGAGTGAGGTCATCACTATCTCACATACCTGATCATACTCTAGCGTGTATGTTGATATCTTTGATCCATTTTCACAGGTAGCCTGTTGAATAAACAAAGTATTTACTATGCCAGCTTTGCCTACATATCATTCATGCATATACACTGACAAGTTTCATAAATAAAAGCCAAATCATATTTAACTTCATTAAAAAACATCATTTTGATTTCATTCCCTCTGCAAATAATTTTAAAAAATGCAATTATAGGCAAACCACAAAAGTCAAAAATACAAAATATTCTACCTGAATTTCCAATTAAAATCATATCACATGAAGCATATATTAATTGATTTTCCGTTGACACACCTATGATGCCACGCAATCTATTTAAAAGAGACTAATTATGAAATTATCTTCCTGGTTTGCAATCAGGTTGTAAAATATTTAAGCTTAAGGTCCAAAGCTGATTAAAAGATTCAAAGACACAACCAAGCTGGTTTTAAGCTGCTTTCACATCAGCAGAAATCGGCTGATATTGTTATCGGTGCCCCATACTGGGTCCTGCTGCAGTGTTGCTAGGGTCATTTATCAACACCCATCTACAAGTCAGTGAGTGAGTGAGTTGGGTTTAACGCCGCTTTTAACAGTATTCCAGTTATATCACGACAGGTCAGCTTAATGTGGGAGGAAAGCCCAAAGTGATGCAGGTCTCAGACGTTTACCGTTTGGGGAAACCCACGAGCATGAGTATGGTGCTGACAAACCTAGAAACATAATCGGGGCGAACCGGGATTCGAACCCACAATCAAAGGTTTCTGGCGTGCCCAGGGGACGCAACTCTGCACGGCGAATTTCGGCGACTGGGCCACCCGTGCCCCCATCCACAAGTCAGATAAACAAAAACTAGGTGTGCTTGCAGGCATGTCCATGCTGGCTCCTATGTTCATACTTACAGCCCACTTCAGCTGTATATTATTTCTCGTCTTTGACACAAGTTTTGGCGGTTGAGGAGCCTCCGGTTCACAGAAAGCTGTGCGGAAGCTCACGCTGTCTGTCTGGTTACCTTTGAGGTCATCATGGAGTATAGTGCAAACCCGTAAGTGATACTCCGTTGCAGGTTTCAGATCTTTTAATGTTATTTCTGTGGCATCTCCCCTAAAAGAGACAACAGATCCAATAATAAAGGGCACTCTTTCATTGAGAGAAAAACTGAACTGCACTTGGTACAACAACAAAAAAATGATGAAAATAGAAAAACTCATCCATGCTGGTAACAGAGACCTTGACCCATGCTTGTCTTAAGAGGCAACTAACGGGATCGGGTGGACAGGCACGCTGACTTGGTGATGCATGTCATCGTATATCCAAATTGCGCAGATCGATGCTCGTGATATCAATCACTGGATCGTCTGGTCTAGATGTGATTATCTATAGACCGCTGTCATATGTAGCTGAAATATTGCTGAGTGCGGTGTTAATATTCATATTTTTCAAACTAATGGCTGATGCAAAACAATTCTGAATCGTGGTAGGTACACAATTCAGTCTGTGCAAAAACAATTTTGAAATACTATCTAGAAGTTGTTTTTAACCATCATTTAATACATATTTTCTAAGAGAAACATCATTTGACATTTGTCAACAGAACTAATTAGAAAAAGAAAACACTTCTTACGAATTTGCCAAAAACAAGCACAGATGTCAAATGCCATTGATTTAAAACCAATAATATCTACATATTACATGCAGGCAATCAACAATCTTATCTGACAAAAAAACCCACACTATCTTATACAAGCTGACAGAAGCTACTAATATGGGACAATGACCAAACTGTCAGGACAAATGACATTCAGTTATCCATGGGCTGTCAAACAAATTGCTTAAACTACATAAGTAACAAAATTACTCAAATACCAAACTAAATTAGAAACTTTTCTGATATTAAATAGGCTTTGACAGCAAGCAGTCCTCCAATACTTACTTATAGACAGGTTTGTATTTTGTATCACGGCCCTTATCTGAGAGGAGTAATTCATATTTAAAATCGGACTGGTCAAGCTCAATGTCACTACTTTCTACTTCTGGGGGGGATATTTGTATCAAGGCACTTCTCGCCTCAATATCGGTCACCTGGAAAACAGAAAGAGGAGACTTAACACAATGCCATGTTACACTGGTCTAACAACACTGAAACGGAACCTGAAACAAGCCACAAAATCACATAACAAAGTATATTGAGCATCAATACCTAGGTATGTATGTGTCAACATGTGTCGTCAGTAGGTCTGAGTATGTGGACAATGTGATTAGCAGTTGAAGAACAAGTTGTTTATGCCTATGTCAAACTGATTGGAAGCTTTCATGAAACTGGAATAATGGACGACTACTAAAAATAATGAAAAATTGACCCCTCAATAATGACAGTATATATATATATTGATTAATGAAGTTTTACACACTAAGGGTCGCACCGGGGTCCTTGAATTCTTTTGTAGTATTTAAGTCTAGAGACCCCTTTCATGGTTCATTTTCGTCTTCAGGCTTATGACAAGAACCCCATGACTTTTTCGTCCACTAATTTCAAACACTGAAATGAGCAAAGTTTTACAAACTGCTACAAGAATAAAGGTTTGGGGCTAAAACCCAAGAGCAATCTTAGTTACTAGTTTCGAGCTTTGGTGCTCTCGTCAGACTGTTGTGTGTGGGTAGGGGGCTCCTTATATACACTTTATGTTCCAGATACGGTACCGGTGGAGTCTACTGGTAGAGTGGTACAGGTGGACCGGTGGACCGGTGGTCCAGCTGTTACCGGTGGATCGTGAGTGGTGTTCTCAGAGCCGGTGGACCGGTGGGCCACAATTTCATGATAGCTAGGGGACACCAAGAAATGGACACATACCCAGGGAACATAACCTGGGCTTTCATCATGCTTCACAATTTACAATATTTGGACCAGAGTTTAAACCACGAGGTCATCCCACCAAACCCAAAGATCATAACCAGTGTTCAAAATTAAGCACGACAGTCAAGGGGTCCTTGCCAAAATCCTAATGATAAAAGTTAAAGATTTAGCATCCCGAGATTCAAATCCCATAGTCAAGGATCCTAGGACCCCCCTCAACTTTGATCATTTATAACATAGAATCTGAACAGGTCAACATTACAACACTCAATCGATCAAAATGACAATAGTAACGTATCATCCTACCTTGGGAGGGGACATATTTGAGAGACCCTGTATGACTAAGGAATTATCTTCCTCTGATTCTGTGGGCCCGTTTTCTGATGTGGACATGTTAGACACACTGTTGCTTGTATGGACCTCTCCGTTCACTGAAACAACAGACATGAAATATTGTAAACCATTTCTCAACTACCTCGACACGAGAAGAATAGATGTATAAAATACCTGAAGGTTACATGTGTTGTGACAGACTATTTTACAGTCAAAGGATGCACTGAGCAATTAGCTGTGAAACTACTGATGTGGAATAAGGACAGATCCATTCTCTCACAGTGTTCAAGTTGTTTAATCTCAGTCAGTTCCTCAATAAAAGGCACTCTGAACCAATCAAAGCCATAAGGGAAAAGAATTCCTCACCCCCATTTTTCATGCATCAGTTTTAGTTCTACATGTATCTCATGTGTGAGCAAAATATTGTTAAATATTTTCGTATAAATATATTAGTCCAGATTCTTTTGTATCAATATAAGAAAATAAATACTGTTCAACAGTGATAGAAACCTTTTCAGGTTTAATTGGTCCTTAAGTCAATCAGTCAAATTCTAATAATACCAAAAATGTGAGTGTGTTTGGTTTTACGCCGCTTTCAGCAATATTCCAGCAATATCACGGCGGGGAACGCCAGAAATGGGCTTCACACATTGTACCCATGTCAGGAATCGAACCCGGGTCTTCGGCGTGACGAGCGAATGCTTTAACCACTAGGCTGCCCGACCGCCCCTAATAATACTAAAAAACTTTCCACTAGTCCTAATGACGATCCCTTAACCATTATGAACTTATTTGGGAATACAGGACCATTTTCTACTAAAGTAACAATGCATACAATGTACATGAATGATATAGTCACATTGATCACAATGTTTCAGAATAGAGAATTATGAACCCTACTACTGCCACTGACAGTAAACTGCCTCTGAAAGTGTAATGAGAATAAACCTTCACAGCATAACACTACACAGTAATGAGCAGGAAATGAAATTATTTGGCTCTTGTGGGTGAAAACTGCTGGATTCCTGACATTTCTGTAGCTGATCTGTGTAGGATATAATTGGAATAGGGCTCCACTCATGGCCATTTGTTAATAACCAAATATACACGATCAGGTACCATCAATGGAACCTTTACATTTTCTTTTGTAGGTTGTGATCAAGTGCTCGGGACGTCCAATGGCTGTAAATCTTTCTAGTACTCTATATACATATATGTTTGTTTGTTTGTTTGTTTTTTAACACTGCACCTAGCAATATTCCAGCTAAATGACAGCGACCTGTAAATAATCAATTCTGTACTTGACAATCCAATGATTGACATCATAAGCATCAATCTACCCCATTGGGATACGATAACATGCATCAACCAAGTCAGCGAGCCTGACCACCCCATCCGTTAGTCGCCTCTTACGACAAGCATAGTCGCCTTTTATGGCAAGCATGGGCTGCTGAAGACCTATTCTCTACCCGGATCTTCACGGGTCGATATACATGTAAAGCTATAACATGTAATGATTGTGTCTATGAAATGATCTTAGATCACATTTATCCCAAATGTGGTTCTCTCCTCTACTTGTCAGGCTCGCCTCAGCAACCCATGCTTGCCGTGAAAGGCGACTATGCTTGCCGTAAAAGGCGACTATGCTTGCCGTAAAAGGCGACTATGCTTGTCGTTAGAGGCGACTAACGGGATCAGGTGGTCAGGCTCGCTGACTTGGTTGATGCATGTCATCGATCCCAATTGCTTGGATCACTGCTCATGATATCAATCACTGGATTGTCTGGTCCAGACTCGATTACTTACAGACCGCCGTCATATAGCTGGAATATTACTGAGTGCGGCGTAAAACAACAAACCAACCAACCAAATCTCTCCTCTACTCAAGTGTGATCACAGAATGACGGCATTTCATCAGCTTCACCTTCATGATCTAAGTAGTTCCCTTAATGCTTGCCACAAGTGTGTCCTTGATTCACACCAGCTAAAACATTTGAACGACTTCTTGCATAACATCAACTGAAGGGACACGAGCGAAGCAGAGCTTAAATTTCCTGTAGTCAGCAAATTTCAAATATGTGTTGCAGATATAAAATAGGCCAGTTGGTGGATAAACACATTTGGTTGTTTAAAGCAGAATCCATTATGAAACGTTAGATGTGAAAACAGCAATATCCTATTTCATCACTGAAGAATGTTTGGATGAGAAAAATGTCCCCAAAACATATTTCTACTTGAAACATTAGGTAATGTGAGAATTCCCTGAAAAACAGCTGGCATTTCCCAAATGCGCATGTAAAAATCTCTCAAAACTTACATAGTTCGTAAAAGAGAATTAGAAGAAAAGAAATTATACCATCAATCTTGGTATGATGTATGTCAGGAATAATTACTGAATGACACTGAATAATTTGGTCTGATATAGTGCCACCCAAAGCATTACTAGGGCGGACAGATAGTGAGTCCTCCAGAGCTAATTAGCATACAGGATAAGATAGAGACAGAACCCAGTCGGCAGGGTCTGTGCTCATGAGAAACTTATATACAAACCAGCTGTTGATGAAACATAGTGGCTGGATCTTATTTCAGTGACACAGATTTCACTGAAACTGGTTGTAAACAAAAGATAGCGACACCCCAACAGCGTAGAAACAGTCCTGAAATCATGTGTTCTAATTCTTCACTTAAGATATTTCAAATTCCTGGCAGATAGCAACTGAATTAGCTGGTATTCATTTCCCAAGATAGGAATGGTTGAATGACAAAGTAAGGATTAATTGTTGAAAAAAGATTCTAAGTTTGGTTTTTAAATCAGAGGTTGTGTTGCTTTGCCACAAGGGTAAAGATTACAGATCGTGACTGTCCTTGAACTTGGCTTGAGTTCAGGGGGGGGGAGAGAGAGATGTGTGAGTCATATTACTGTGCGCTCCACAACTGCAGGGATTGTTTTTTTAATACCATGCTCAAACAATATTCAAGTTGTATGACAAAAGCCCTTAAGTCTGAGTGAGTGAGTGAGTGAGTGAGTTTGGTTTTACGCCGCTTTTAGCAATATTCCAGCAATATGACGGCGGGGGACACCAGAAATGGGCTTCACACATTGTACCCATAAGTAAGTCTGAACCAGACAAGCCAGTGACTGATATTATCATGTTAACGCCCATCTTATGATGCTAGGGTCGGTTGAGAGTTAACTCAGTGTTCGCTATCAATACTCTATAAGCAAGTAAATCCAATGTATTCCAAGTAAATAGATATTTTTGTCGAGTTTCGTCTCAAATTGAGAACAGTCATCTTCCTGAGGTAAGGCGTTAACTGACCATACAAGTCCTGTTTCCACCTTTGCCGGACTAGGCTGGAATTATGGAGTTATATTTTGGCTGGACTAACGAGTCTATGCACAGTCCAAACAAAATCATGTAACAAAACTGACATCCGGTCGTAAACTGTTGTGCCAATTTCGGTCAATTGCAGGATTTGCAAAGCATGTGTACCGTGTACCGTCTAAATTTTTTCATATTTTTTACGTGATGTGATCAACTTTGCGGAGTAGGACCTATTTTGTAAGAACAATTTAAAAAAGTATGGTCGATTCATGTGTAGATTCAAAACAAGTGTCCGACAGATCCAAAGAAACTTGCATAAACATATCTCACTGTTTCATCTGCTCTCACACAAAACCTAGCCAAGCTTGTTCCCACTTGTTTCAAAGAAACAGTTTTGCTACATGAAAGAAAGCATAGTTTTCATTTGGTTGTCATGCCACATGCTATTTCACATAACATGCCCATCAAAGTAATGAAGTAGATCTAATAGATGCCATCCCACACTATGTGACAGCTTTATGATCAACCAGCATTTAAAACCAGCACTCCAAGGTATTCACAAAATGAGATCAAAGTCACTCAATGGAACCAAAATGATCACGTCACCGATTGACAGATGCTTAGCTCAAATGGAGGCCACAAACTGCTATTCTAACCAGTCATTAAGACAACACACAGTGGAGAGCTATGCCAGTCTTACTTTGCCCACAGGAATTTCAGACTTGCAAATGAAGATGTGCAAGCAATAGAGTGCACGTCAGAACTCATTAACATGCTGAACGAAATGAATATTTATCTTGCAATCTATATACTCCGGTAACAGAAATGAAAGGTGTTCCTCTCTGTGACACAATCTCCAATAGCTGATTGTTTCATTTCCTTCACTTCCCCTGATGAGTCTCAAGTCAAGTAGTAAGGGAAATAGGGAATTATCAAATCACCATCACATGGACAGGATTTGGGAAGACAGAATCTCCCAATGCTATCACAATGAATTATCACTTACCGTTATGCTTTTCTGTAAGTCTTGTAAAGAAACATGCAATTCTGACTGAAGATCGTGGAACACTTCCCTCTCTACTACATTCATTTGAATGGAGTATAAATTTAATTCTATGAAATTACCCGACAGATCTTACATAACCGGAAAATAATTTACCTGGGCTATTGATGGACTACAAATGAAAACCCAGGTATACTGAATCTCGTAATTCTATGAAGCTAAACAGAAAGTAGACACATTGACAAACTGAAAACATCTTCTGTTCCTGTTTCAACAGTTAAGATATGAATATCCTCTGATCTAATTTTCCGTTAGTTGACAAATCAGTTTTTGAAACAATTCCTGGTGAAATTTGTTATTACATAAATTTTATCCTTTGTGTTGAACCTGAAAGTAACCTTGACCTGTATATGCTATTCAACTTCCTCCTGGCTTGACAATCAATACAGCCAATACACTACATGAGACCAATGTCACTTCTAGTTACATGTACATTGAATAATTCAGCAGTGGTAGATATACACCCAGTCCTCATACAGGGGCAAAATATTTTATGAAAATGTGGGCTTCATGTCTACATCAGTGAAATGAATGTAATTATTACAGTAGCAGCTGCTCAGAATAAACCAGGGAGCAGACTGGATACAAGGTGGGGGTTAACATGATTATATATTACTAGGGATATAGATTTTCAGCTTTATATATCCCGGTACAGGTGCACAAACACAAAAGGATTGGTATCAGTTTGTAACCTTAACTACATTTGCATTTTTATTCCCAATCCTAAATTTCTTGTTTATCATGTTTATAGGATCTAAAATGGGTGTTAATTGTTACAGTTTTCACACAAAGATGCGAACATAAAACTGTATCATGAACTGCAAGTACAACATGAACACTGAGGGATGGATGCCAGTCACAAGTAAATGAATGTGATATGTGAGCAAGTGAATAAATGAATGTTTAATACACAGTGGTCATTTATTACGGCAACATAACTAATCAATGGACCAGTGGTCAAGCGTGAGCATCTGACCAGACAGTGGGACGATAAATCAGTCCTGTGTGTTTGTCATCTCTGGTGACCACCTATCAAACAACCATAACACCAACTGTTTCACATTTTCATCACCATAGCCACCTGAATCACATTTTCATCACAATGACCACCTGTTTCACATTTTCATCCACATTACAACCTGATTGACATTTTCATCATCATGACAGACACTAGGAAGAGGAAGTATTTAACAGTTTGGGGCAAACCACAGATCAGCCAATACTAAGTCAGTCTAAGTATTTTGCCCAAAATGATGTATTGTCTGTACCTGATCATTGCATAACATAACATTTTTGACATATTGCAATAGCTCTAATTTCCAAAATTTGAATTGTAATTGGTTACGTTGCACATACATCCATAGGTGATAGGTCTTTTCTATGAGGTAAATGTTTTCTAAATCACTATTTTTTTTAACGTGAAGATCTATCAATAAATGACATGGTAAATAGGACAACTGCATTTAGCACAAAATCTCTAACATGTTTCCAACAGACATTTTGCAAGTTAGTCGTTGAGATATACTCTGACTGAGGACTAATACTTTCATTGACATATAATACTGATCTGTGGTTATTCATGACCTGTTTAACCCTGAGGACTTGACAAGACAATGACTTTATTATTAGTGGCATGGACAGACAGGTCCTCACCCCCTGGGTTTCCTCTCCGCCTTGTGGGTGGGCGGGTCTGCTGGTAGTAGCCATCCGTCCTCCTCCTCTCCAGTTTCTTCCTTACTTTTGATCTCTGTCGCATGTTCCGATCTTCTGGTGAATTGACAGGGGGGCTTGGTCCTTCAGCGTCCATTATGATATTGATTAATGTTGATTTCGACAAATGTCATCAAAAGCCAGTTGAGAAATTTGCATATATCGCAGACAAGTGACTAGCAGACTATTTGTGTGGCTGACCTATCAGAGATAGACCAACTGTTCAATAATGAGAGCAATCAATACATGACAAGTACAAATTTTGGCAATGTCTGCTTGGGTGTACCCACTGAAGCAAAGACAGCAGGCTGAAATGCCTGTAATGGTCTTAGTTTGTATATTTCACCACAGACAACAACAGTATTGTCACTGACGTGTCAGCAGGGACTCCATGGCTATACCTTGACACATCACTTCCTTCTAACATGCAACAAAATACTTTACCCTCATAATAACATCAAAACTAGCAAAATAACTTAAATATATGTTTTTGTATAGTCAAGGGGAGGATAGATGTAGTTAATTCTAACAATTGCATGAGAAGTTATCAAATGAAGGCTACCATATGTTATTGTCTATGTGGTAAGAGGCTTCCTCTTTATACTGCTCCATTTGGGAGACGTCTACCTCAATGTTGAGCCCCAGCCCGGAACTTTCAATGAGCTCATTGTTACTTTGTTATTCGGTATGACAGTTGTGTGTGATATGACCCGGAAATCATTAAATCACTCCAAATAACATTTCTGCACTATCACAAATGGGAATAGATCTCATTAACTTGTTGACCATTGCAATTAATAATACATTAAATTGGCTATGTTCATTTCACATCTTTTGTCGGGAGAGAAATACCAAAAATTACTTTTCCACCTACGTGGATAATAAATACAAAATTATACTTACTGAAACATTATACTCATAATTCATGACAATCACAATCAATTTTTATATTGTCTGAACAAGGTCTATGAATATTCACAGAACTCATAATCTAGTTAATTGAAGGTTTTTATAGGCTGAATATATTGTGAAAAAACCCAACTTTTATTCATCAAGGATAACAAATTTATTTACTGTTTTGTCACAGTAAAAATACCCTTGTTTCAAACAATATTCTACTGATTATAATGATGTGTGTTTTTTTGTCTAAGCAAGTCTATACCATTACCATTATAATATAATCCTTTGTACTCATTTTTCACCCTTGTTTATAGCATATCTCAACCACACAGTGTTTCATGAGTGATCAATCCTGTACAGGTGGCACTGCTCCGTGGTGAAATATACAACCTTTCAACATGACCAGCTGTCAATGTTTGTCAAAACTCCCAGTACATCCCCTGTCCAAACCATTTTAAACCTATCACCGTATTACCCTATATTGCATCAGGTTCCTGACAACCTCGGGTAAACCTAATAACCAGGGTTAACCGGTTCATAACTTGGATAAAACATGCCTCCGAAGTTTTGGTTGAAAATTGTGAGCCCAAAGGCTTTTCCCAAAGTCAAGGTTTTACATTTTCAACCCAAACCTCGGAGGCGTGTTTTATCCTATACATAACATACAGCACTCCCCAAAAAACTACTTTCCAGTTAATGACAATGAAAAATGTTTTCAGACATGTAATATTTTGCAAATATTCTGATGATATCATAATAAAGTTTTTTTTCCAAACATACAACATTTATTTGGTTCATTTGAAAGGATTTAATTGTTCTTTTATATATATATTAAAAGAAATTCAATGTGAAGTACATTGAAATAGCTTTACTTTTTTCAACATAAAAACCTCATCAATAAAACATGAGGGGCCAACAGAGGAAGTGTTGTAGGTTATTGAGCATGTTTATCTGTATTTATGCCCCATCAAAGCTGATATGAATTTATTTCATACCCCATTACATGATATATATATATATATAAATATTTGTTTTTCTTCCCATCCTTTATAAGTATGCAAGACTCAGAACCATGGCTGGCATATTTATATCTATGGCCGATTATTCTATGGTATATCCACAAAATTATTAAATCATCAAGAAATTTGATTTTGTGTAAATATTACCACCCAAACACTGGACCTGAAAGTGGCCAAAGGTCCAAAACTTTCATGTGTAAGGGACATGTCTGATAGTGTTCAAAGCAATATTTCAAGATTTCCATATCCTTAAAATGACCGGTCCAGTGGGTCAATAAGGGTTATACAAGTCTGAGCTGGTACTTTAAGCCAACACAAATCAGACAGCCGCTGCCATCATTCTGAGTCCAACATACAAGGGCGGATCCAGCATTACTAATAGGGAGGGGTCTAAAATATCAAAATCATCTCCCCCATACTTTTACTGCCTACATCATACTACATTTGTAATAAATGTTATATTAGGGACTTTCTTTCTGAGTAAAGTACACATTCTCGTACTATTTTGGGTTGAGTCTCATCCAGGATTCGAACCCACACTGACAGAGTGTGCATTGTGTGTTCATAGCTTTCGGCCATGGGAGCCGTGCCAATTTACACTTATCAGAGGGGTACACAAAGTATGTGATCTAGACAACCAGTTGTTGGACTTTCATTTTAGTGAAAGCCTCGGTGGCTGAATGGGTTAGATCGCCAACTTTGTGTGCTGGTGATTAGGTGCCTCACTCTGGCAGTGTGAGTTCGAATCCCGGATAGGAATCAATCCTAAAAAGAACTTTACTAAGAAAGCGTTATCCCAAATACAACATTTGTTATATGTGACCACTTACTAAATGGCATTGTGTGTTTATACATTTGGTTTTCAAAGGCATGCCCCCATCCCAACTGGATCCGCCTAGAAATATAAATATGCTTTTTAATAAAAAGTCAGTACTCACCTGAGGAGTGGACCGGTGCATGGGTGTTACAGTGATTGTGTTGGGGTGGGGTTTGTATGTGGGGCATCCCAGAGTGCATGTGAGGGGGGACCGCATGTGGGTGGTGGTGAGGTGGGTGGGTGGTGTACTGGGGGTGGGTTGTGTAGTGAGGCCCGTATGGGTTGGGGTAATACTGGGATGCACTGTTTGGTCCTCCCTGAAAACACAAGAGAAACTAGTTCACATTTTCTGGTTTACATTTCTCAAAACACACATGTCTTATTAATCACAATCAGAGTCAGATTTTTACGTATCTCACACTGGGGTAGAAATTATTTTCCGTTTTCACTAGTCTGCAAAAACGATCTGCTTCATTGTTGACATCTACCTCATGGTAAAAGAGGTGAGTGAGTGAGTGAGTATGGTTTTACGCCGCTTTTAGCAATATTCCAGCAATATCACGGCGGGGGACACCAGAAATGGGCTTCACACATTGTACCAATGTCGGGAATCAAACCCAGGGTCTTCGGCACTTTCACCACTAGGCTACCCGACCGCCCCTGGTAAAAGGGGTAGTCGACAATGTCCTGAATCTAACAAGTCTCAGACAACCAGACTTATACTAATTTTGAATCCTGACTGACTTCAAGGAATCTTCACAGTTAGTTCTGAATATATGACTTTTGCAAAGTGTTTAATTATCAAGATTCATGATGGACAAATGAGAACAAAAATATCCACATGAAAATCATTCTTTCTCAGAATCCTTCATACTCAATAGTGATAGATAAACATGACAAAACGTCTATATCTACACTCATGCTACAATTGTATACTTTGCAAAACCGACACATATATGTACAAAAATGCAGTATAGGTTTGCTGACCAATAGACCTTGAGCCTTGATGTTATCAAGCAAGCAGAATGCATCATGTAAACTTCATCTATTAAGGTTAATTTGTTTGTGATCTGTACTGAAGTGTTCAAAGTTTAGGAGGTACTTGAGGATTGCTCAACTGGTATTTGAAAAAAAGGGAACCTCTAAATTTCAAAATGGTAAGATAAGGGTTATAACAAGGACTCCTTGACTTTCATGCTTATTTCAAACACTGGTATTGCATATATTTGAATGGGTTGCGCTCCATCTTCATGAGTGAGGTGAGGTGAGGTGAGGTGAGGTGAGGTGAAATCGGGTTTAACGTCGCGTCCAAGATTATTGCACTTATATAACGACATGCATGCATGTGTATGTGTGTGGCTGCTTGTACTAGTCCGGACTGATGCCGATTTATAGTGCTAGCTCACTGAGATACCATGCCGCAGTTTGACATGAATACCCCACTCAGATACAGTATACTGACTCTGAGCCGACCAGTCCTTGTTTTAGCCCCTTAATGCCGAGCTACTGGACAGGGTAACAACAAGTACCATATTTTAACGTCTTTTGGTATGACGCGGCTGGGGATCGAACCCCGGACCTTCCGCTCTCCGGGCGGACGCTCTACCACTAGACCAAGGAGGCGGTCTCTTCGTGACTGAGTGAGGTCTCACACCACCTGGAGTATTTTATTTCAGGCCCAGTGTCAGCTCGGAGAGGAAGGTCAGCTCAAACTGAACAAAGTCTTATTTCTTTACCACTTTGGTGATACCCATCACAAGCCGAGCATCACATTGATGGGATTCGAACCCATGAAGAGCTGTTCTTGGCAGCTGAGTATGCAACTTAGACCATTGGGCCATGAATGCTCCAGTGTTGTGTACATACGCAGGACATAAAACTAAGTACTCAACACTCTTATGGCTCTTGATCTAACAGGTGGTGACCCGTGAAGATTAGGGTTAGAATAGGTCTTCAGCAACCCATGCTTACCTTAAAAGGCGACTATGCTTGTCGTAAGAGGCGACTAACGGGATCGGATGGTCAGGCTCACTGACTTGGTTGATGCATGTCATCGATCCTGATTGCGTGGATTGATGCTCGTGATATCAATCACTGGATTGTCTGGCCCAGAGTCGATTATTTACATACCGCGGGCATATAGCTGGAATATTGCTGAGTGCAGCATAAAACAACATACCAACCAATCTAACAGGTGGTTAGTGAAGTAAGCAGTGAATACTGTAGCTGTAGAATATTCAAACAGTTCTGTCTCCGTTCATAGTCCCTACAGAAGCTTTGCGACAGTGTTGCACTGTAGCCCTGTGTAAGCTGTATGCCACTGATGACTCCTTGTTCAACGCATATAAACCACAATGCCCAAATATCTTTCTAATACGTGTCCCATATCAGCTGAACACAACAATATGTGTTATAATCACTGAATATCAGGGTTGACACCTTTCACCCTTTTTAAAGCCGAAATGTCACAAATTGATGTTGAGGTTGTGAGGAAAAAGCATATGACGTCACTCCAAAAGAGCTGTCATTCAATCCTGCTTGTGACGTCCATAGCTGTCCCTTCCTAAGGCGTGAGGAGAAATCAATGCTTCTAGTACTATGTTCAGTTGTAACTGTCACAGATAGTGATCGACCCAAACAAACAATAGTGGGGATGACAGTCAGTGATTGGCTGTCAACTCAAGCCATTGATCTTGAATACAACTGGTCCTGCATTATTCCATGCGCGTTATTTACCTGAAGGGAACTGCCGTCACTTTTTCTCCATGCAGTTTCACAAGCATTCAAATATGCAGCTCGATTTCACTTTCAGCGTATGGAATGAAGCATGAGTGAGTGAGTGATTTTACGTCCTCTTAGCAATATTCCAGCAATATCACAGCAGGGGAATCCAGAAAAGGGCTTCACACATTGTACCCATGTCGGGAATCAAACTCGGGTCTTGGGCGTGACGAGAGAACACTTTAACCACTAAGCTACCTGTCTTCCCCAAATGAAGCATGGAAGTCCAAGGGTAATTGTCGTAACTATAATGTTAAAGGGGGTCCACGGTCTGTTCCAATGTTCCATCCCGGTCCGGAATGTGTGCCATCTGTGACATGACCTGTCAATGCTGTCGTCCTAGACTATTAGGTTAATCTACATGATCATGGCTTAATACACAAAGAGTGCAGGTTTTGAACAACTTGGGCTGCCAATCTGCCCAAGCCTAGAACCCTTTTAAGAGTTAGAAAGTGCCTAGATTCAAGCACTGAGGGAGAAGCGCACTGACATATTTGATATCAAAAGCTGTTGTCGTAAGGTGTTTCCATTACGCTGATAGGGTGGGTGCAATGACTGATGAGTCCTTTGGGGCCGTGTGACAATCTATGCCACTTTTTGGCGTGAAATCGTGTCATTGAACCTTGATAGCAAATCTGCTCACACAATCATAACATTTTCACTTCTACAATCACTAACTCGCTTGATCTGTTTCTCACTGAATGACTCACTCCATCTGTACTACTTTTCCCCATCCCATAATCACCTCGAAGCCCTGACACCCACAGTGGCTCATTATTATGCAAGGAAAGTGTTGCAAGCAAAAACCAATGGTAATCATCTGGTACTGACCGTCATTGGGCTTCCAGGAACTGGAGGTTGTGGAGATAGGATGACATGTGTTAAAATTCCGTATTCATCAACTATTTGTTGCACCATGTGACCAGGCGGCACCTGCATTGGCATCGGTAATGGTGGGCCGTTGTTGGACACCATCCTCACAGTTGCTGGGCCTGAAACAAAACACAAAGTCTGTGAATACCCAAAACAAACATTTCGCACTGTCAAATGCCACATACAAACACATTTTTACAAGCAAAACTAATGCTTGACATGTATCAGATTGCCAAAGGACCTATTTTTGCAGGCGTTGGGTTTCTTGACCCATAATTATTATATAAAGAAGCTGAATAACGACCTGTGAAGTCTTATCTATCTTTTCCCCAAAATGGAGAATTGATTTTGAGAGATAAAAACCCAGGTGAAGAACAGCCATAATATCCATACAAAACGTGAAGCAAGCTCTATGCCTTGAGTAATAGTTCAGGCTTTGACAGGAAATTAAGTAAGTTGCCACAGTATGATCATTATTTATGTCAAAACATGAAGCCGAAATGCCTGTCAAACCTCCAACCCAAATAATCTTACCTCCAGTAAGTTATTCTAACAATCTTAACCTGCTACAGACAAACCATTCTCCTTTACAGTTGGCTAAAAATACCTAGACAAAAACAGCAAAGAGGCTTAGCGCTGTTGTTTCTCTAGGATGAGAAACAAACTTTTCGTGACTTTTTGACGATGCTTTTTAATGGCAACTTGAGTTCAACCACAGTTCTCCCAAGTTAGCATAACAAAAATGAACATCTACACCGGTATTTCCTGCTATCAGTGTTAACATCGGCTTGCCAGCTTACAGAAACTATTATTTATATCAATGTTGAAGAAAAACATGGAGAGACACATTTCACATCCAAACACTCGAACGAAAATAATAGAGATGCTTCAAGCAATGAGTCGACTTCAACTAGCTTGTTTGTTATATCTACACAGCTTCTCTGAATGACTTGTCATCGCCAGTTCCCTTCTTTTTGGCAAACCTAAACCCAAAAACCACAATTTCCAGAGTCATTTGTAAGCTTTTACACCAAATTTGATGCTAAAGTCAGTATTATCTTTGTTGTGGTTTACACTAATGACTTGCTAAACATATGTTCAGATTGTTTACACTTCCAATGGTAATTAGGGTATACATTTTTCCCAATTTTTTTAAACACCGAATGCTTCAATTTCTAACGCTTGTTATGTAAAGGAGACATTTGTGTTTCCATCCACAGCAAGTTCCACTTGTTTCAACAGCTCTTGCAAATGAATACAATATGTGTCAAAGATACAAATATTTGTGCAATTTAGCTCTGTTTCATAACCAAATCCATTACAGTTTATTTTTTTAAGGAAGAATTTCATGAATATTTTCGCCACTAACGTCCTTGTTCCGGGCAGCAAATGCTGGGCATTATCCTTTGTCAGAACTCGGTACACAAGTACCGGTTCACTAGATTAGCTCCATCACGGCTGTAAATATAGCCAGCCTGTAATCAAGCTGGTCCAGGACCTAAACATGTTCTCATTCACCTCCACACCTTGTGAGGCCAGAGCGAAAAGGAAAAATACCACTGGTATTTTCAGAAGCACAGATAAAACATTTTAGTGCCAGGGCAAGTGTAGATTACTGGAGGTGATCTAAGACTGGCTTATCTGCAAGCACACCCTCTTGTACAGGTAGGGAAAAGAATGGGAAAAGTTGCCAAGTATTTCAAGATCTAGTTAGACTTCACTCCAGGTACAGACAAGACTCATCTGGGAATGGCCTGCCAGGCTGTGTACTTGGTGATTATCTTGGCATCTTAATGTTTCCATTGTTTACATATTACGTCCAAAGGCCTTGCTTGACTTCCAAAGCCACTTACACCTTCAGAAAAGTTTTTATATAGAGTTTGCTCTTCTAGGAGATACTGGTAGGAAGCTCTGTTCACAGTTTCTATGTTGTTTAGGGTTTGGAGGATTGGCATTTCTATTAAATTTCCATAAAACATGTTAATTCCATCACACGTTTTAATCATAGGATGTAGGAAGTTTGTTATTTTGGGATGGCTAAGGAAGCAGCAACGTGAGGAATCGCATGGCATCCAAAGTAGTCCTCAATCTTGCATAATAATACAGGAATGTAATCACAACATGGATCAAATGTCCCACAGTCATAATTCAAGGAATCTTTTGTGACGTCCCTAGGGTTCATTTGTCAGTGATTCACTTGGATTCAAGACCTAATAATTTTTAGTCCAAAATAGATTGTCAGCTTATGAGTGAGACAAGGCCAAATTACTCAGGTCATTGACCAGTATGTTTTAACAGACCTAGGTTCATATCTAGGGTGAATCTTGTTCCACAGCTAACTAGATAGAATACCGTATTCAACGTAATAAGCGCCCCGCTCTAATAAGCGCCCACGGCGATATTTGCTAATATAATGGCTAGTGAACAATCCCAATCAGCACCCCTTCCGATTGATCAATGTACACAAGACTTATTTATTCATGCATAATACGCACTCGTGTGTTATATCACCCTTAATTATGGGCAATTAAATTCTTGAAAAATATATCTGTCGTATGTAAACATTTCAGGCTGTTAGCATAAACCACGAAATTTACGATCTTTCAACTCAAAATAATATTCTAATAAGCGCCCAATATTTCTAATTTTGAGAGCGCCCTAGGCGCTTATTACGTCAAATACGGTACATGCTAGGACCCAAGCATTCTCTACCACCCTTTGCTTGTCTTGATATGAGCATGATTCCATTTTATATTGTTTGTTCAACGACCACCTGAGCCACTAAGGGATCTTAGCGCTACAACCATCGCATGTCCTATGAATTGACACAGCATTATGAGAGTTGTTAAGTAAAGACAGTTTTGTAGAAGAAGACTACGGTGGACAATTCTACCTTGTGACCTGGCTGATGTATTGTGTCATCGTACCCAGTGAAGGCATTGGACGATGTTTACACTGTCTGCTACTGGTGTGCCTAATCTAGGCCAGATTATACATAACATGCCAACAAGATATAGCTGGCTAACTTGAAAGCCTAATTCACTCACTCGGTCAATCTCTAAACACCTTATGTTTACAAAATATTAACCAAAATAGCCCTTTTTTTATGAATCCCTGTCAACACTGCATTTCAACTATATCATGACAAATCAGCTGCGATGTGTGTGTGTGTGTGCGTGTGCGTGTGTTGGTGTGTGTTGGTGTGTGTGTGCACGTGCATGTGCACGTGCATGTGTGTCAGGGTTGTTTTTTGTTTTGTTTTAGTTTTACGCCGCACTCAGCAATATTCCAGCTATATGACGGCGGTCTGTAAATAATCAAGTCTGGATGAGACAATCCAGTGATTGTATGTATATATCTGTAGTATGTATGTCTATACAGTAAACTACGGTTATAACAAACGTGTTTATAACGAACTGATGGATATAACGAACTTACTTTTTTGGTCCCGAATATTTGCTGTAGTTATGCTGTATATATGCTTATAGCGAACTACGGTTACAACTACAACTAAAATTAGTAGTCCCTTTGAGTTCATTATAACCGTAGTTTACTGTATATACAGATACCCAATAACAGTAAATTTGCATTGTGACATGTTTTTCGTGAAAGGCACCAATTTGATAACTGAAAACTGATGAATTCTTTAACCAGGAAACAGGTCCAATGCACATAAGCCCTTCAACATTTAGATGTAAATCTGACCACCTCAGACAGAAATGCTTACAATAAACAAAGGCACTTATACTGCTGTTGTCAGGACTTGTGTAGTAAACGTGACTGCCGACATCAAGGACCTACGTATCTTGTGTTACCTGCGGTGTACATGTGGTGTGGGTGTGGTGTACGTAACAAATCTCTATGCTGCCAACTCCAGCACCTCCAGGTAGTTTCCAAACTGTCAGTGGAATATCAACAAGCCGTTCCAACTTCTAAAAATTCCTCTTCCTCGGTATGTGTCTCCAAGCTCTCAAAAAAACCAGACCGCCTCCGTGGTCTAGTGGTAGAGCGTCCGCCTGGAGCGCGGAAGGTCCGGGGTTTGATCCCCGACCGCATCATACCAAAAGACGTTAATAGATGGTACTTGTTGTTACCCTGTCTGGCGCTCGGCATTAAGGGGCTAAAACAAGGACTGGTCAGCTCGGAGTCAGTATACTGTGTGAGTGGGGTATTCATGTTAAACTGCGGCATGAAGTGCAATAATCTTGGACGCGACGTTAACCCAAATTTCACCTCACCTCACCACCTAAAAAAACCCTGCATACATGAAACTACAAAAAACAGAGCTCCACTTCTGCTGAACGCTGTGAAGAAACACTGCGAAGAAACACTGTAGGAAACAGGCTTCCTCCATTATGATGCAGAGAAAATCTCCATGTTTATACCCTGCTATTTCAAAATCAGGCTATTAACATTGACACTGAACAAGGTCTTCCCTTGACCTAGCATCAACTGTTCCCCAGGTCATATTAGCCGATATGGGATTACTGGCAGTGTTCAAAATTAAGCATGGAAGTCATGTTGTCATTGCTGTAAACATAATGGTAAAAATGAAAGATTAAGGGAGGCCCTAGATTAAGATACAATAGCCCCAAGCCTCCAGGACGGCCCCAACAATAAATGCTGACTAGTATATTATCCGCTCGATAAATAAAGTAGCACACACGTGTCTTTGTGATATATATCAAATGGTAGTTTTGTTACATATGATTTTACTCGACAAATGGTAAACAAGGCCACAAGTTTTTGTTTGTCATTCTTGCAAGCCTTAAACATTGAATACTAGTTGTTTTAAAAGGACATCTGACATCACATCCAACAGTCATATTAATAGGCAAGCCAGCACCCCCCTCCCCACCACCTCCCCACCCAAAGGTAAATTAGTTGTCGTGAATAAATATATGAAACGTGTTGCCATGTAAACGCAAAAATATTTGTTTAAACAATAAAAACTATCAAAGGGCATCAGTTCACCACTAAAATTAAAAACACTTTCACAATTGTTAACAAAACATTAACTTTTTGACCAGCCCTCGATCGTATTTGTTTGTAAGTTGTCTTTTAACATAGTCCATATCTCAACCTTTTAAGCATCCTTGTATTTTGGCATTATTTTCAG